TAATTTCAATAAAAAACACTCGATAATCTTCTCATTATGAATAGAAAGGGTTCCTAATCTGACATGATCGATGCATAAATATTCCAATTCTTTTAAATTTTTACAATTGATCAGAAATAATCTCGAAATTCCCGTTAATTTCAATCGTTATAACGTGACCAATCAAAAGTGTTGACATGTTCTAAAATTGACTTTGAGAGATTTCATAGGAACCTTTTGCATATCGATTAACCGACAGCCCAAAACTTGATCTTTCAAATGAAACACTTCTGTGATAAGAGATACGTACATAAAATCAGAATGCCTTGATCCCTTTACAAGAAATTTCTTTGACATTTGGGAGGTTTGCTAATAACGAACATAGTAAATCATATGATCCGTAACGTGATTTTAATAGATTACCTCTCATTTGATGGATAATTTTTGATGGAGATTCTTTCTACATTTCTCCATAAACATTTTAAAGTATGATCCAATAATTGATATTGATGAATTTTTTTATCCAAATTTTTTTATAGCATCATTTAAATTCTGATAATTTAGGATTTGTAAATGCGATGGATGATCATATAATGCTCTTCGTAAACTTTTTTCCGGTAATTGCAATCCATTTGCGATAAGTGAATCTTTGGATTCTTTAATATGAAATACTTTGGTTAACGTTAAGAATCTCCTTCAATGGTTTTTTTCCAGAGAATAGGGATAGCCAATGAACCCCGATATCTATTCACAAGGATGCTTTCTAAATGTTTTTTATCATGGCTTGTAAACCCTTTTCTAATTCTTTAATAGTAAGGTTTTAATTACCATTCTTAACTGACAAAGGCGACTTGATTGCAATTATTTAAATCCTTATTTCCCGTCAAAGATTTTTTCAAAATTACATTCACATGAAAATGAGTATACAGTTATTTATTTCTAAGGGAAGATAGTGAATTATATTTTATTTTTTATTTGTCACGATCACATGATTAATTACGCCATTAATAAAATTCTCAATTTTTATTCACAATTTTCCAAGATTTGCTTTTATAACTCCTTGATCAGCAAACTTTTCCAATGTCAGTTTGGCGTCTTTAGATTTCGGTTTATATATAAATTCCAAGACCCTACACAATCTGGTAGCACACGCTCGCAAAAAGATCTCCAAGGCTTCGGTCGAGATAGTATAATTTGTAACTTGTAACCTGGTTAAATTAATTGGAACGAACGGTCCGGATTGTTGCAATGCATCGCTGATATCGAAATCATGATCTTTTAGGTTCCGTAAAATCAAATATTCGAGCTTTGGACATTTTTGAAAGAATGATTGTAACGTTTCAATCCCTTCAATATGAAGTGGACCATCATATTGGTAAAGGTTCTTGCAACTATTGATCAATGTCTCAGTAAAAACTGGAAGATCCATAATATTTCCATAATTAGAAATAAATTTCAAGGATTCCAAACTTCCATGAGTATTTTTAATTAAGACATTCGATTGTGATATCGTAATCATTGAAACGAACAGTTCTTTAAGCTTTGGGAATGATGAATTCATGTAATACTTCAAATTCGTACCATCACCTTGCATGGAGGAAATTAATTTCAACCTCATTCTCTCGATATTTTTACTTTC